GAGGAAAGTAGCATAAGAATAGATAAACAGATACGTGTATATGTATAGCTATAGCTGATTCACTTTGCTTCAGGGGGATGTAGGGGATGGATTCTCTCACTGTGATGAAAACATGTAAACTAAAGATTCTATGACAGAGAAAAAAAAGAATAGATAAACAACAGGATCTACTCCATAGCACAGGGAACTATACTCAATATCTTGTAATAAACCTATAATGGAAGAGAATCTGAAAAAGAACATATAGATATAGGTACCCGAATCACTTTGCTGCACACGTGAAACTAACACAATACTGTAAATCAACTACATTTCAAAAAAAAGAAAGAAAAAAGAAAAGAAAGCATAAAGAGAGGCACAAGAGACAGACCCCTCCAGTGCGAACACAGGAAGTAGGTTTGAGGAAACGCCAGTGGTCCCCCTTAACTGCAGTCTAGACAGACACTGTCTTCATTTCTTCCTTCATATATTCGTTCATGCAAAAACAACTGACAATTGCACGTGACAGGCTACACAATCGGTCAGGAGCTGGGATGCAGGTCCTCACAGAGACGACATTCCCGCAGGGGAGACCGGATCTCATGCGAGGACGCTGATGGTTATTTACGTGCCTGGCTCTGCAGGAGAAGCACTAGGGCCTTCAAGAGCACGTGAGGATAATGGTCAGAAAGGCCTAATATTTGAGCCAAAGACTTGAATATAAATAGGGGTTGGCTGAGCTGGGAGAGAGAGGGAGGAAGAGGAAGGAAGCCTTGAATAAAAGCCATGGGGTTTTAAAAGACAAAGCACCTGCCTAAGACAATCTCTGTCTAGACTGCAGTTAAGGGGGAACACTGGCCTTTCCTCAAACCTACTTACTCCCTGTGTCCTCATATGAGGGTCTGTCTCTTCTGCTTCTCTCTTATGCCACTTTCTTTTCTCTTTTATATTTTATTTATTTATTTATTTATTTATTTATTTATTTATTTATTTATGGCTGTGTTCGGTCTTTGTTGCTTTGCGGCGAGCAGGGGCTACTCCTTGTTACGGTGCGCGGGCTTCTCAGTGCAGTGGCTTCTCTTGTGGAGCACGGGCTCTAGGTGCGCGGGCTTCAGTAGTTGTGGCTCGCGGGCTCTAGAGCACAGGCTCAGTAGTTGTGGCGCACGGGCTTAGTTGCTCCGCGGCATGTGGGATCTTCCCAGACTAGGGATCGAACCCGTGTCCCCCGCATTGTCAGACGGATTCTTAACCACTGCGCCACCAGGGAAGCCCTGGCTTGCCCTTTTTAAAAGATCATTCTGGTTACAAGTAGGCTGGGTGCAGAGGGCAAAAATAGGTCCAGAGACAGACATGATGGAAGATGGGGCTAGAAATGAAATTGCAGTTCTGAGCCTTAGTCGGTGTGCAAAAGAAATGGAACCAAAGGGTTTTGAACAGGGAGTCCCCAAGTCCTTTCTCAGACCAGATGGACAACCAGAGAGCCAAGGGCAGCGGTAGGGCTCCTGTGGCCACACCCCTTACTGCTTTAGTGGTACGCTAGACAACATTTTCCCAAACTGACCCCCAAAATCACCAGCACTTGTTTAAAATGCTAATTCTCAAACCCAGATCTTCTGGATCTGAATTTTGAAAGGAGAAGCCTGGGAAGCTATGTTTTTTTAAAGTACTGCTCATGATTCTCATGGTCAGGCAAGTTTTAGAAAATATTGATCCATACTTTAAAAAAAAATCAATATCTAGCTAGACAAGCAGCAAAACAGATTAAAATATAATCTAGACGCTATCCCCAAATACGACTACCCTTTCCTTCTAGTGAATCGGGATTCAGGCTGAAAAAGGTTAATGGTTCTTTCAAAACAAGAAAAGGTAAAAACAACTTGTAAAGGCTGAGCATAGTATAATAAGAAAATAGTGATGAATGTGTGTAATATTGGCTTTCAGCCTCTATGGTATTGGCACTGTAGGTATAATTCTTGGGTAGATCCAAGTATATTGGTTTCCTAGGGCTACTGTAACGAATTACCACAAACTCGGTGGCTTACAACAACAAAAACTTATTCTCTCACAATTCTAGAGGCCAGAAATCCAAAATCAAGGTACTGGCAGGGCACTGCTTCCTCTGAAGTCTCTAGGGAAGAATACTTCCTTGCTTCTTCCAGCTTCTGGTGTTCTTCGGCTTGGGCTATATGGAACTCCAACCTCTGCCTCTGTCTCCTCTTGTGGCCTTCATCTCTGTGTTACCTCTTCTTATGTCTCTTATAAGGACATGTGTCATTGGACTTAGGTTCTACCTGGTTAGTCCAGGATGATCTCACCTCAAGATTCTTAATTACATCTGCAAAGACCTCTTTTCCAAATAAGGTCATAGTCACAGGTACCAGGGTTTAGGACTTGGACATGTGGTTTTGCGGGGAAGGAAAGGATTCACAATTCAACCTACTACATAGTGATTTTAAATTGTTCAGCAGGCCTACATGATACTCTTACCTGTATCAGTATTTAGAGGGTGTTTTTAACATAAATGCTCTTAGTTCAACATTCCTTAGAATGACAAAAGTCCGTTTATAAACGAATTCATTCATCTGAGTCATGTATATTTTTAGAAGCATGACTGTATCATTTCAAAATAAGACATGGTATTAAAAAGCCTCATATAGTAGACAAAACCATATTCAGACAACTGACATCACAAAAAAAGTGCCTTTTTCAGAAAGAGAATTTCTAAGCATGAGGAAAGGTACATCTATCCCAAGAAGAGTAACAGGGAGGAAACCAAGGTATTTTAGTGGTTTCTGCTGACATTCCTCTTAGGAAATGTCAGTGAATCAAGTTTTATTGTAATTAATGTTTTAACAGAACATTTTGCTTTCCCAAGGCAAAAAACAGGAGTGGCTGATATTACAAGGATGTATGGAGTAGCTATTAGAAACAGGAATAGCTGTAGAGGCATGAATATATGATGAGAAATCTGTAGTTAATTTATGAACATCAGGCACTTATAGACACAGAAAAAAATAATACTTTAAGATAAACACAGGGGGCTTCCCTGGTGGCGCAGTAGTTGAGAGTCCGCCTGCCGATGCAGGGGATGCGGGTTCGTGCCCTGGTCCGGGAAGATCCCACATGCTACGGAGCAGCTGGGCCCGTGAGCCGTGGCTGCTGAGCCATGGCCGCTGAGCCTGTGCGTCCGGAGCCTGTGCTCCACAATGGGAGAGGCCACAATGGTGAGAGGCCCGCGTACCGCAAAAAAAAAAAAAAAAAAAAAAGACACAGGGCAGGATGGATACATAAAGCGGTGTGGGGTGGGAAATAGCATGGTACCAAAGGAAAAAAATTGATAATTGCTGCATAATTGGGAAACCTAACAGAAAAGATCTAAACAGAAGTGCTTCCCTAAATTACATCCACCTAGAGGTTTCAAAAATCATTTATTGAGAAGAGACTAGCATTAATAGAGTAACTTAATAATACTTGTAGGAATTTACTGGAGTAGTAAATATATTTGTATTTTGCTTAACTTTTTAAAGTATATAGTGTTCTTTCTTCTGAGTGGGTTCAGTTCTTATGAACTAAAAATCCTCTGTTCTTATAAAACATTCCCAGGTATTCAATAAAAGAAGACAGAAAGAGAGGTTGAGAATGACATCGAAATTGAATAGACCCAAATAAAACTTTAGTCAAGATCCTGGTGCCAAAGAGGTGCACATTGATTAAATAGTAACCTTATAAAATGGGACTGAAGCAAAACTTGTGTGTATCAGAATACACCATTTGCTTTTATATAACAAACCCTGCAGGTACACTAGCAACACATCTCAGAAACTAATTCTTAAAATGATGACAGATTGCAAAATAGCACATCAAAATCCATCAAATTCTATCAGCATCCACCCCTCTCTATCCAACATGGCCAAAGATTTCTCAAACTTTGCACGAGTAGCCAGCAACACACCCATACATCATTGCAATATATATCATTGTCTTGCAAATTCTAACATAATTACAAGCAAACTTGCAGCATGCGATAATTAGTATTTAGATTAGTTGACTCTTTTTACCAATCAAGCTACTTTCCCATCTTATAATACATTTCACTGTGGTATGTTTCTTTGCTTTCTCTAACATCTTTAATACAGATAACACAAGTTCAGCCATCACATTACAAAGGAAAGCTTGAATAAATTCATCCTGTATATTCTTTTGTACAGCCTCTAATTAAAAACCCAGGAGGGAAATCACTCTAGTGATATCTCAATATAAAAAAGGACAATACTTTTTGTTTTTCCAAGAAAACTTCATAAGTGGCATTTATTTAAATTCTAATCATTCAAGCAAAAATGTTAGAAAGCCCTCCCACCCTCAGCCTTTGTTAAGTGAAACATAAACAGAATTCCAAGAGAGGAGGACCATTCCCTGTGTCTACTCCAGTAATATAAGGGAAGTAGTTATGTCTGATATATTTTGCTACCGATTCCTTAATCTAGGCAATGATTACTAATTCATGCATTTAATTTGAACAATGATAATTAGGTTGATTTCCAGATGACTCATTTTGTAAACCTTTGGCCATTAGCATTCCAGGCAGAGTGGGCCATGTGCTGCCTTCCTGCTGACATCAGTGGAAAACTTGAGTCAAGATCAAAGCTACTTTATGCCTCTCTGACCTTTCTTCACAATGCACAGTGGGGCCTGGGTTTCTCAGCTCAGAATGTTCATATTTGCTTCACTGTCCCCACAGGGTTACCACTCACAGACAATCTACATGTAGATATTCACTGAAGATCCTACAACCGGTCCATTGGAAATCACAAGTCTTAGATTCTAGTTTTCAGGTGGCTTCCTAATCTGGATCCAAATTTCAGCAAATCCTATTCTGGTTGGCTCACTGAGGCTTCAGCGAACAGAGAGAGAACCCCAGTTGGGTGAGGGGCAGTGCTCATTTTGCCCCCAGAAATCAGCCATACACTTACTTTCCTCTAGAGATGCACTTTGAGAATCACACTGGAGAAAGGATGCCTTACCTTGACAGTCATGTCTGCGCTGGATGTGTCTGTGGCTTTCGAGGTTATCGCATCTCCTGTTAGCAGCACACTCTCCCACCCAACTCCTGAAAAAGAAAAATCAAAATGGTGCCATTTGAGCCAAGTGCGTTCAGCTGGCGTAGAGAGATCACTGTTTCGCAGCTTCCAAGCCCATGTGACTTGAAAGGAAACCAATGATTACCCATAGTTTAACTGCCTGGCAGTTACCAGGAGAGCTTCCTTTCAGAAGTGTGGTCAGTCAGCACCTCCTGTTTTTATCTAATCTCCAAGTCTGGAGTCATTATCTAAATCCTGTATTTTCTAAATAGTATTATTCCTAGTCCAGAGTGGAGAAGAGGTTAAAATGAACTCCTCCAGAATCCAGGCCTCATACTGAGGTCTTATTCGGAGCTTAAAGTGACCCCCATAACACAGAAATCTGCACATCTGAATCTAATTCAACATCCAATAGCAATGACCTCAGATTATTCACTGTCCTAGATTCTACACAGCTGCTGGAAATAACTGAGACTTTACACTCACTTTTAAAATCTCTATATATTTCTCCCCAAGTCTTAATGCATGTTAGCTCCTTTTCTCTTAAGCTGTCAGACAGGCTCCAAGTGTGGACATCTGGCAAGATACAAGGTTTTGCTCTCTCCAACCTCAACAAAAGAGATCAGCGGCTGGTGTTTGGAAATACCCATGATCACAGCACAGTAAAACTACACTAATTTAGATGCAATTATGTGTGTGAATGGAGGTGGAATGGTCTACAAGAGTGAAAAGTTTGAAGTAATGACAAGTATATTTTTAAAAAACAATATTGAAAGTAAAGTCATCTTCTTAAAAGCTAAGAAGGCAATACTTAGCAGAGCTTCTCAGGGTCCACTTTAATAGGCAGATAGAAATTTTATAATTGGTATAATAACTGCCTACTGGGATATAAGCACTCATAGCTTAAAGTATTGAAAAGATTGTTTCCTTAAACAGACTAAAACTGTGTAATATTAATTTACATTATTGATTTTCTTGAATAATTTTCTCTAAGGGTAACTTGAGGGCAATATTCATGCCGGATCTGTGTGTATCACCCAAATTCCAAATTTCAACTGTCTAGCATTATGCTAAATGAGGACTGGCACATTTTCCTGTTTGCCACATAGTAAATATTTTAGGCTCTGAGGTCAGACCACTTCTGTTGCAGCTTCTCAAGCTGCCATTATAGAGGAAAGCAGCCAAGATAACATAAAAACAAATGGACACAGCTGGGTTCCAATAAAACTTTACTTACAAAAACAGGCGCTGGGCTGTTTTGGCTCATGAGACGTGCTTTACCAGCCTCTGTGCTAAATCAAGAAACCAGAGATGTGTCCAGGAAAGATTGTGATACTTCAGCATTTTTCTAAGGATCAACTGGACAAATCAGGTGGTGAAACTATAACAACTGTTTGCAATTACATGACACTTTAAATAAACTAATAGGAGATTAATTAAATGTTAATACATTAGCACTGGTTGCATTGCCTTGTTTTATATTCTGAATGCTTGAGAGCCTCATTTCACAGGAAATACGCACAATGGATTACTCAAGATCCATGGGCTATAATTTATTGCAAAGTACAAATAATTGTCTCTCACTGGGTTGTAAAAATTGGGTCAGAGAAGTTTGATGACTTGCCCTACAATTTCCTCTCAGGGAGGTTGTGGGCTTTGTCTTAAACGCACGTTTCTGGGAAAGAAATCTTTGCTCCCACATGAATAGATTATTTCCCAGACACATCTTGCATTTAACTAAAGCCCCTCCTGGTTTAAGCCACTGTTGGTGCCTGTTGGATCTGGCTGGCAGAGACATACAGATGTTGGGCATGATGGACAAATATATGATACTTAATTATGGAATCATTTGAATTATTGTTCAGCAAATACTCGGTCCCCTTCTCTCCCACTGTGGGAGAAACTGTCTTCCCTGTCCTCCTGATGTTTGCTTTGACCGATGGGATTTTAGTGGATATCGCGCAAGCAAAGGTTTGAAATGGGTTTGTGTGGTGATGTTTGCCCTCTTGCACTTCTGCTCTAGCATGAGAAGGACATGTCCCAGTTGGCCTGCAAGGAAATGAGAGTCATGGGGACCAGACTTGGACCCAATCCACACCTTGCAGCTAAGCCAAGTGTAGATCAGCCAACCCCTAGCCCAACTGCATATGCATGACAATAAAAGTGACCGAGTTTGGGGATGATTTGTCAAGCAACATTATTATAACAATAGCTAATAGATGCAAATCTATAACGAAAATCATAGATGAAAATCATTTTGGATAAAGTATTTCATTTTTAACTACGCAAATATAATTCCCTTTGTTGCATAAAATTCATTTACGAGTATTAATTCCCATCTCTCTCTCTCTATTATATCTCACTTTGGGAAGAATCTTTTCTCTGCTATAATTATTCCTTTCATAAGCAATACTATCTTTATGAAAGGATATGTGGCCACAGGAAAGAGCTATGAGACATAAATATATGTGTATTCTCAGAATTTTAGCCTGCAGCCAAGAAACCACTTCAGAATTCATGGCAAGGGTGAGAGAAAATAGTATAACATTTCAACTTAAAAATGTTATTAATCCTGATAATAAGTTGTGACGACAGAAAAATGTTATTTTAAAAGAGAGAAGCAAAATTCCTTCCAGGTAGAAAGCTGTTTTTGGAGAACAAAGCAACTTTACGAGCCATTTGAGTATGAAAAGGTGGAAGGAAAAGGAAAATGGAAGAGGTCCATTTCGAAGAAGGAGAGTAGCTGAAAAATGTTGGAACAAGAGTTGGCAGTAAGAAATTCCCGGGGGTGATAAAAAGGACTTTTGAGAACAGTGATGTTTTAAAAATCAATCTTAAATTATTCATCGTGCTGTGTCAGGATGTAATTCTCCCCTTACTCTCATACCTTCAGAGAAGATCTGTCTTACACCATTGTGTTCTATTGGTGTTGTTGACTGGAAATTAATAAGGTCCCACATTTGGACCTCAGGGTAGAGAGAAGAGAGCAGCCATCTGTACATGGGAGCTCCCTGCAAAAGTGGAGTCTGAGAAGGACATGATAATAAGACTCTTGGAGAGGGTACTAGACCCGCACACTACACCTGATAGGGCTACGGGTCAATTTTCTTTCATAACCAATGTACAAGAGATCCTCCCATTTTGCAGACTTGAAGATGCAAGGTGACTGACATGTCTTTATTGAATGATGCTTAAACATGTAAAAAAGCCACTTCCATTTCCAAAATAGTGATTGTACCACACGTGGGTAGGGGCGTAGCTTAGATTGCTTGTTTGAGATTCCTTCAGTGCTAGGATTTTATCAACAACTTTCAATGTTGATTTTTATCAACATATATATATATATAATTTGATACATAATATAGAATATATATATTTCACATATATTTCTACCTACTGTACTTTCAAATAACCACTTTTATATCCCCCCTTCTCCCTTTGCTCAACCTCTCATTTATAACTTTTTTGAGAAAATATATTTTATATTATTTCTACAATCCCTAGCAATACTACTACTATTTTAATTACATTTTTAAAAGACTGGATCAAACCTTCAGGAAAAAATAACTTCTCTCTCCCAGAAGAAAATAAGTTTGCATTTCCCTGTAGTGGAAAAATTGAGACCCGTCTACTTGTAGCTGAGGGATGCTTATGAATACTCCATCAGGGACAGTTTTATGAAGATCTTGCAGGAATAAATCAAATCCACCATGAATTTGTCGCTGTTCCTTTTTATACACCTCCTTACTTAGCTACGCAGTCAGATAGATACATCCCTTTGCCCAAGCTTCCCGTTCCCTGGCGTCCACATCTCTGGGTCTCTGTTCCCAGGGCACACTCTGCTGATTGGCTTGGCCACTCTCTCTATCGATTTCTGTTGGGAATAATATGTGTGCGGTTGACAGGGCAGTGCAAGCAAAAGGAAGGAGGCTGGGCTCAACCCTGGCTGCAGAAGCCAGGGGCATACCTGAGGACCAGCAAGGAGAGGGTTTGAGCTGGTAGCAGGTAGCCACGAGGTCTTGAGCAGGGTAGACTATAGACAAGATGATTCTGTGGGTTTGAACAAAGGGAGACAGGACTAGACTGAGCAGTGGAGAGGGCGAGCAAACTAAGGAGGCAGGCTTGGTGGGGAAGCAACTGATGGCATCCCAGGAAACACTGCGTGACTTCCTCAGCTCTGATCCTGGCTGGCACTAAAAATAAATAAAAATTAAGGGTCCAAGGCTTAGAGGGAGAGGGTAGAACTGCACGGGAGGATGCTAATTGTACCCAGACCCCCTGGAATCACCATGTGTCACGAGGTGAAAGCAGATTAAGAAAGAGAGGAAGACAGGTCAGCATGGACTCTTATGTGCAAGAGAATGGGCCTTTGCTCTAGCCCATCTGTCCACACAGATTCTAGACAGATCGTTGGACAAAGTGGGTGGCCAAGGTGGTCATTAGTGCTGTTCACCAAATGCTCCTGGTTCCTTCCTCTCATGGACACGTAACAGGATGTCACTTCCTGGCCCCCTTAGAGTTGGGGAGGTCATGTGACTAGCTCTGGCTGATAAGTGTGGGCAGCAGTAGCATGGATCACTTCCGGCCGGAGCATTTAACTGCTGATGGACGACCCTCCAGGGTACCCTTCCCCTCCACCACGGTGAATGGCAATGTTCTAGACAGTGGCGATTCTACTGGCCTAAGGCCCAGCCGAGAGGGTAACACAAAGCACAGACACAGCCAGCCCACAATGGCCATGTAACATGAATGAGAACTAAACCTTTATTATTTTAAGCCAAAGGATTGGGGCTGTTTATTACAGTAGCATAACATAGCCCAGCCTTAGGAAAGGAAGGAGCCCTTCCAGACCCGCCATCCCCATCGACCTCCAGTTCCCATTACAGAGAGTTCTTCGGATAAATCTGTATCTATCCTCTAAATACATTCTACCATTTAAATATTGTCTTCTCAACCAGGTTCTAATCGCCCATACTTTCTACTTCCTTGGGGGTCACTCTCTGATTCCACTGTGCCCCCGTGCTTATTG